CCACCCCCGCCACCCCCGCCACCGCACACGGCGCGGCGGTGACGGCGTGTTGACGGTCTGCGACGGCTCGCGTGCCCGCCGGCCGGGCGCCGGCCCCCATTGTGGAGGGATCACGGTCCATGTTTACGCCTTTCTCCGAGGCTTGGCGTCGTCGGCGTGTTTCATAGCCCCGTTCCCCCACACTACTTCCCCTTTCGGCCGAACCCAAAAGGGAAGGGTCGATCGCATCACCTGCTCTCCTAGCCTAGATTTTGGGTTGGGAACCTGCTCGACCGCTCGGTGGCTTCCCCGGTTTGCACGCCTGTGCGCTTTGGGTTCAAATGTGACACCACCGTTTTCACTTAAGAACGGCCGTGGTGTACGATTTCAACATAGCGCAAGGAAAGTCTGTTTGTTGTGCTTTGGACGGGAGACTGCGCGGCTGTCCCGCCGACCGCGTGCACAGCACATGGAGAGAGGGAGGGAAGAGAGAGAAGGAGAGCTGCACCGAGTGATAGAGGGAAAAGGGGGGGAGCGGAGGGGGTAGAGGCAAATAGTATGTGGCGCAGTAGTGTGGCTAAATAGACACATCCTCGCCCGCCCGCCGCGCCCCGCACCGCGTTATCGGGAAACGAGCTATTTGCGGTCGCGTCGGTCCCGCCGCCGCCGCGCCCCGCCCCGCCCCGCCCTGCCCCGTCCCGCCGCGCCTCGCCGCCTCGCGCTCGCGATGTTCTGCGGGCAGCGACTCGCCTCGGCCGGGACGGGGCGGCTGCTGCCACTGCTGCAATGTTATGATTTGCGCGGTCAATCGATTTGATCTACTAGTCAGTCAACAGTGGCAGTGTGCTTGTCGTGGAGCTGCTGCAGTAAGCCCATGCGGCTACAGCACTGGCACCTCCCTCCTCTCTTTACCACCTTTTCCTTCTCCTCTTAGTGTTGTCGTCGTCGTCCTCCCTTTCTCCCCTCCTCCCCTCCTCCCCTCCTCCTCTCCTCTCCCTCTCCCCCGCAGTTTCTGCAACCGACGGTCCTGGTGACCTTGCACCGCCTTGCACTCCCTCCCCCCTTCCTCCGCCGGTGGACACGCGCGTGTGTGTTGGCACGCGTCGCGCACACGCTCATGCGTGGACATACATTACATACATTCACACGCACGCATGCGCCTGTCGGGACGGGGTGACTGGTCTGATCTGATCGTCCTCACCATGGGATTGCAGTGAGACGTCGTTTCGCTCGGCGCGGCTGCGCGATGCGTCTCGCGGCGAGATTACAGCTAGTGGGATCAT